ACACACACACACACACATTACAATAAGATGTACTATATAATAAAAGGCAGAATGTACAAAAATTTGCGAGCACATAGATAGTAATGCATTTTAGCAAAAGTTTAACTTTTACAATAGGCATACATAAGCCGGAAAATTTTATATCAATATATGTAAAATTCTATCATAATCATAGCAATTCAAATGTTTTTGCGCGATAGCATAATTACGTCAACTCTGCGTGTCCTAGATAGAATATTTGAAATTACAAGAAATTACAAATCTGCTAATAATTTCTTTTCGAGAGTATACTAACACCAATTCGCTCAATTCACGCGATCGCTAAAGAAAAGAAATCAACATTTTACACAATTAAATTTAAGAGTATAATTTTTTCTATGCAAAGTCTGGTGAGGTGATTGTCTCGATTATCTTTTGGCCCGAAACAGGATTTGAAGATTAATATGCTGGTTAACTTAATGATGATTGATCTTGAATACATTTGTTTATATGTTTGTAAAATTTTTATTGCTGTGGTAAAGAGTTGCGAGAAACGCTTGATGTTCGTGCAATATCGAAACAGTAAGAATATTTATGATATAATAGGATTTAAAAATGCAAAAGTATATATATAAACGAGTAACAAACGTAAGCTACAAGTGGTGCTTATGTGAATCTTAACTTTAGTGCCCTCAATAAGGGTCAGGAAGAATTGTAGATCCTGTAATTATAAGCGCTCATAATAGGTACGATCATCTCGAGATTGAGTTTTGAAACTCAATATGTGTATAAAAATGAACGAAAGAGAGAGAGAGAAGTTTAGAATTTTTAAGTACATGTATCATGATCTTAGATACTCAAATATTAATGACATTTTTTCATGGCATATTGTCGATGATAAAAATCTGAAGAGGAATAAATTGAGAATTATTGTAATTAAATTGTATTAACGTACTTGCCCGCAGGGGGTGAGTGTAACAACGTCTACATATTTAACAGAAAAACAATAACTTAATGTATTTTATTAAAGTGTACTGTGAATTTCCTTTTCAAATTACGAAAGCATTAACGTAATGTTATTCGAGCTATAGGTTGTGCAGAGGGATACCGACTATATTATCATACGGTCTTTATCCATGTACTTGTGTGATATTTGCTATTATTTAATTTCTATATAAAAAGAAGCGATTTTTTTCGACGAATTGTTTGCGAAAATAAGTTTGTAAGTTTTTTTGTAAGTTTAGACATATACTACGGTATACATCACCTAGGTCGAAGATTTACAATCTTTTTGTCGCAGAAGGAACACTAGAGGCCCCCGCACAATGAAAAATACAAGGGACAGGGAACAGATATTAGCGATTACAAATAAAAAATGAGGAATAAAGCTGGTGTAGCATTAATACACGGCTTCCGATAGGTTAAAAATCTATTGCTTATGTTATTCCCTGTTTCTGTTGCCTGTATTTTTCATCGTGCATTCAACTTTATTCTTGATTCTTTAGTCCTAATTAATTAGGACCGTTAGGATTGTTATTGGTTAATATACGCGGGCCTTTGATTATTTAGTTTTAAATTTGCTTAGTCGATCGAGACCGTATTGTTATTCGTTAATATACGCGGGCCTTTGATTATTTTTAGCTTTGTAGTCGCTAATATCTGTTCCTTGTTCCTTATATTTTTCATTGTGCGGAGGCCTTAACATTCATGTGTATCACCCAGTGAAATATCATTGATAATTTTGATAAACTGCATTTTTTTTTTTTTTTTATTTTTTTTTTTTATTTGTATAGCTCGTCGCGTGACACTATTTTAAATGCGTCGCAATTGTAAAGGCAAATAATCGATATTTATATTCGCGGCAAAACCTGAACGCTTCGAATTTTTGTACACTCGAAAGTTTGTTATTGTCAGTTATTATTCCTCGCACCAAACGCAGAAGTTATGTAAATAAACTGAATGAGAAGACATTTGGAACTGTGAAACGTAAAACGACTTGGATTTGATATAGTCACGATGGAAATCAATTTTTTTTTTGAGCGATCTCCTATTATTACCTTGCTTTTAATCTTCGGATAGGAAAAATAGAAAAATTATTATCAAGCCTTAAAACAACTTTTATCCGCAAAATGTATGATTTCCATAGCGACTGCGAAGATCTCATTTTCTTACGATTACGTGGACAACGGAGTTTGTCGAGAACAGATCTTAATGCAAGACTTGTATGCAATGTCGTTGGCATGTTACGTTAATAGAAATATAGCAGAATTTGCTAATAAAATATGACGACAGAGGCCGAACGAAATCTGTAGGATGCAGATACACCGTCCTGTTATGTTTGTAAGTTCTGTTAGTAGAAGTTTAATGCGGATACATTTGATACCAATCTGCTGCCTGTCTACCGTAGTAGAATATTCACTTATACTTATTATGTTGAAAAAAATCTGCAAATCCTTATACGGTCTATTTAGTCAGATATGCATTTGCTATTTTATATAAAGTCAATGAATTGCTGTAAACACAGTAAACACACGTATGCATATGGAATGGAACAGAAACATGAAATATAAATGTTCGCAGAATTATTAATAAAAGAAATAACAATATCTGATGAATCACGAATGTAAGTCTTTATTGATGAAGCATGAAATATTTCGATTCGATAGTACTTGATTTTGATATGTGAAATAAATACATACACGCTTTCTATAAAAAGATGTATATCAAATCTGATTTGTGCTGTAATATATAATACTGTAAAATATAAGTAGCTATAAAATGGGATTAATTTCATCTTTTGTACAGTACATAAGTCACAGTCATTCGATCAATGTTTTATACAAAGTGTCCCCGAAAGGGGGACATTTAGAAATGGTCCCGGGATGTAGATTGACTAGGAACAATATTACCATAAACGCTATTACGATACATCAGTGACTTTCTGAGGTTTCCACTCTAATAACTTCGCAAAGTCTTCTTTCGTTAAGGTGATTTGCCCATTTGCCATCAAATGTATCTACAAAATTATAAAGTTGTAAAAAATTCATATTATGTAATGCCGCACAAATAGAAGAAGTTAATGACAAAATACAATGTACATACGTTTTGTTTCTTCAAATTATCTATGAGTAGCGTCTGTTTCTTAAATGCTTGCACCAATTCCGACCGTTGTTTCTCCAAATTCTTTACGGCTAATCTCTTATCGTCTTGTAACTTTCTGATTTGATTTCTTAATTCCTACAACGTGGATACGCGTTACAGATTTAGATTGTACAGATTTAGGTATATACTTTATTATACCTTCTCTTCTATCTGGCTGCACTTTAAGGCACTTTTGAGTTTCTCGTTGCTTTCTAGAGATCTGTTTAATCTCACATCGAGATTGGTTGACTGTTGATTCAACGTTCTTATCTCTTTCTTAAAACTTTCCAAGTCCTAAAAGGGAATATCACTGTAATAGACTAAAAGTTGTGTAACATATAACAAACAGAGGCTATAAAGATACCTTCTTCAAGACAATATTTTCGTTGCTCAGAGCTTGATAGTCTGATAGCGTATCCGAATTTACCCGTTCCAACTTTGTAACTGTATCGTTTAACGTTTCTATCTGATTACGCAGTTTAATTTGAGCGTCGTCAAGCTTCTTCTTCTCCACCTCTAATTCTTTGCAATAATCGCACTATGTATAAACATGATAATTCATAAATTTATTTTCATAAGTCTAAGAATTTTTAGGCAGTTGCATATTTTAATTTTTTCAAACACTCCCTTATTTACAACAGCAAGCGACAAAATGAGAAGAGACATTACCTTATTGTTGTACTCGAGTTGCATCGTTTGTAACTTTTTATACAGCATATCTATCTTGCCCTTGAGCAAAGTGATAACAGCTTTATTTCCGACGTTACTACCTTTCTTTGGAATTTCAGTGTCGTCGATACATTCTACCGATGGAGCTTCAGAGACTTTAATTGACGATGTTCTTAATTGTTTATCTATCCTTAGTGTCGTATCTCCTAAGCGCGCAGCCTTTGCATCTTCCAAATTTGGATTTGCATCGTTAAATAAATTTTCGGTACGGGCATGTATGATTGAATCAACGGTCTTCATTACATCGCGCGTCTTTAGCTGAAGATCACGATTCAGTCGATAGAACTCCTTCTCCTTTGCCAATAAATCATCAGACATGTCTCTAAAATAATATCGTATTGTTGAATTATATACATGCTTGTAATTAAATATGGCAATAATAAAACAATAA